AACACCAGGCCCCAATGTCAATAAACCACCAGACTCCAATGTCAATAATCCTACAGACGCCAATGTCAACAAACCACCAGGCCCCAATGTCAATAACCCACCAGGCCCCAATGTCAATAAACCACCAGGTCCCAATGTCAATAACCCACTAGGCCCCAATGTCAATAACCCACCAGGTCCCAATGTCAATAACCCACCAGGTCCCAATGTCAATAACCCACTAGGCCCCAATGTCAATAAACCACCAGGTCCCAATGTCAATAAACCACCTAGACCCTCCTCCCCTAACTGCTTTTTTTCGACAAGATTGCTTTATTGTTCAGTGTTCAAGGGTCAGCAAAGTAGCCGATACCAATTTTTAACACCCTTTCAATTTGAAAAGGGACAGAACAACTGTTTTTAATCAACATTTAATTGTAGTCTGAAGCTTATTATGGTTTGTTTTTTACACATTCGGCTATATTTTGGTGTTTAGAGAAACCCGTATTCTTAGCCAATCATAACACAGAAGCTGCAGACGATAAGAAAACAACATGGCGGCCCCCATGAAAAAATGTGACCAGAAGAAAAATGAAAGAAAACTTTAGTTTATAAAGATATTTTGATGAAAATCTTTCTGTAGGAACGAAGCAGGTAACTTGTTTTATTAATTTCATGTGTTGTCACTCATAGTTTACGGCAGAATTTTTAGGAAACGACGTTTTCTACTTGTCTTATCTGTAGTCTGCATTTACAAATTCAATGAGATTAAGAAAAGAAAAATATAAGTCATCCAGGTTTGTTTACAAATAAAGGTCTACTTTCAGTTTGTGTGCGTCTCATTATATATTGACAGAATAATATGAGCTGTCCTCCATCAGGATAAGTTAAAAATTCTAAATGAATGATGATTTACACTTCTTTCAGCTTCAAGAAAAGATTTCTGAATCAAGCTGTCAGCCTACTGTTATAGTTGTAAGATATGATAAAGTTAAAAACAGTTATAGTATTAGTGATATGTTCATGTCATCAACATTATTGGTAAGTTAACCTCTATTTCTAAATACTATTAACTGAATGAAATCTGCAAATATTTGTTGGAATGACCGAGGGCTGGAATGGCGCTGTTTTTTGACACGTTATGGTGTTGCATTGTTATTGACACGTTATGGTGTTGCAGTGTTTTTGACACGTTATGGTGTTGCAGTGTTTTTGACATGTTATGGTGTTGCAGTGTTTTTGACACGTTATGGTGTTGCATTGTTTTTGACACGTTATGGTGTTGCAGTGTTTTTGACATGTTATGGTGTTGCAGTGTTTTTGACACGTTAGGGTGTTGCATTGTTTTTGACACGTTATGGTGTTGCAGTGTTTTTGTCACTGGTATAACCCACTTTTACATGTAAAGTCTGAAAGCCCCTCCCCACCACCTTGTCTTAGTGTTCTAAAATTACTTATATTTCAGGAAATCAATAATTGGAAGAATATATTATACTGAAGAAGAGATGACATGATAAAATGAAATAGGTTTTGAAATTATAATGGTTTTTACCACAGGTATCTATTTTTATTTCCAAATAGAGTTGACACTTCTCAACCAAATTAGAGCCTCCCCCATCCATTGCTTTTTATTGGGAACTGAGAGCGGATGCCTGTGGGGATTGCTATTATTACAGGTAAAGTATAAGTCAAAGATTCTGTCCTGGCTTGTCTCTACATTATCAGGTCAATTCGGTGCTGAAATCTAGGATGTAAAACTCCAAATCATTTCGTTATATTTAATTATTTCATAAATTTTATATATAGAATATATTTTACAGTGCAATGTTCCACAAATACAGCCTGGCTTGAAGCTTATTCATTCATTCATCTTTTCCATATTCTGTCTATCTATCCAGTGGATGAATGAAATAAGTTTGAAATGGACAGGAAGAGGGTATATTTACAATAGAAGAATTTGAGATACACCAGAGTTTTTCCTTTCGATTTCCAACATATAACATTAATAAAGATAAATACTTGATACCAATCTATTTACTTTGTCTTGAAGATTTGAGTTTGTTTGAATTTTAAAATGGAGTTTCTAGGAATTGAACTGAATTTTTCTTAGATTCTCACATTTAGAACTGGGTTTTTTTAGATGTAGTTGATGTTTGGCTCCTTACAGAAAGCACTGTTTATTGTGTTGTTCTTTTATTTAGATTATCAATAGCTAAAAATTAGAATTTGATATTGGCTGATGGAATTTTGTTCTTGATATTAACATCCAACAAAAGTGTAACCAAATCTTTATGTTTGATCATTGATCAGTG